CTGTATTGTCCTGGTTAGTATTTTCCAAAACTCCAGTAAAAAGAAATAACGTAAATGGCCTACTCTTGCACACAGCTCCTATCTCTCCATTTTACGGCTCACATTTTATGCAGGGCTGTCAGAGCTTTCTGAATTAAATGTGACTTAGGGCCTGCGCTTGCTGACTGAGGAGGCTCATAGGTCCTATAGCTCTTCCACAATCTTGTACTTGAGCTGTCAAGTATGAGAGATTGGTGCCAAATTCAAACCAACACAGCCCCTTCCCAGTAGTCTGCCTTCGACAACTCCTCCTTGTCAAATCCAACAGTTTACATAGAATATATAGTGAATAAAGTACCCTGAAAGGTACGAATGTAGAGGTGCTGCTTCAGCTGATAGCAGGAACACCTATCAGCTTCCCACAGGGCTGACATTTCAGGCTGGCAGGGGGGAGATGATCATAGGATTTTTGTGCTGCTGCTTCTGAATGGATCGTACGGACTCCCAAGGCAAATCACTGCACTTCTCACCATCTGCCTTCACGAAGAGTCAGTGGGATGCAACCATGTAACTCAAAAAAACTTTTTTTTTTTAATTTATAAAGTAGAGCCCTCAGGTGAATGGTTTATAGGACCCAAACAGGATTCCCTAGGAGTGTCCTCTCTATTAAATTTTAATGCTTTCGGTGCCAGAAACTCTGTGCCCTTCTCCTCACTACCTGGATAAACTTCTGGCCTTAAAATCATCAAACATTAAACCAAGAAGCCATAAGGTACTTGTTAGCAATGCTCAGGGAATCTTGAGAGGTCTGCTTAAAAAAGAGGGACCAAAGTTATACAATTACCCATTGATAGTTGACCTTCCAGCCAGCCACAACATTTGTATGTTGAGTCATTGACTTTCTGGTTAGTGTGACCCAAGAGATAGCCACTGCATCTTGATATGTTGAAAGAAAGAATGTTTCAGTCAGGAAAGAAGATAGCCCAGGAAACAGAAAGAGGAGGATACAAAAAGAGCCTTGGACCATGCTGTCCACAGTAGTAAAGGGTACATGTCATTAGACATGGCCACCCTGGTTCTGACTGCAAAGCTGTTCCAAGTGTGGAGGTGAACGTGGGGAGCTACAGCCAACTGACAATGAATATTTTTAGTCCCCTTCGTGGAAATCATCTCCATCTTGGAATGGATGTGTCAGACTATCTCAGCTCCATGCCATTTAAAGTTCAGTTCCTCTAACTCTCTGTAGACTAAATCCACACTCACCAAACACGTTTTTTTTTTTAAGTTAAGTTCATTCTTGTTAGTTATATATAACAGTAGGATTCATTTTGACATAATTATTAAAGCACAGAATATAATTTGTTCTAATTCGGTCCTTAGTCCTTTTCCTTTCCCTCCAATTCTTCTTCCCCCTCTTCCCTCCCCTCTACTGATCTTTCTGCTATTTATTTATAGTGCTTTTAATTCATGTTTTAGTACATGATGGTAAGATTCACTGTGATATATTCATATATGTACACAGGAAAGTTAGGTCAGATTTATTCCATTTTTCTTCCTTTATCCCATCCCTCCTCCCTCCCCATCAACCCCCTTCCTCTACTCCACTGATCTTTCTTCTGTTTTGATAGAATTCTGTCCCCTTTCCTTTTCCTTATTTTGGACTAGCGTCTGCATTTTGCACATAAGCTCACAAACAGCAATGAGCAGAGCACTGTGGTGTGGCATGACTCTGGTGTCTTTAACAGCGATTCTGCATAGAGTACCAACATGGATTCTCCTCTCTTATCACAATTTATCTGCCAGGGCAATTGACTACAGGAAAAAAAAAAGGGTCTAAACTCTGGAATTCAGAAAATCTGGCCATGGAACAAGTACAAGTGTGAGTTTCCCTGAAATTCCTGCCATTCTGAAACTCATTCCAGTCTCATTGATGTTTAAGTTCTTATGAGTCTGCCTCTTCACACCTGATCACATCTGCACCCTGAAAAGAGTAACTTTTTCATTCTTCAAAAATAGAGGGACTTGTCCACCTGATATTGATTGGACAAAATTTCCTCAACCTCATTAAAACCTCAGTCTTTCTATATACACGAAAATCTCATGATGGATCTCCATCTTTCAATGTGCCCAAGCCAAATATCAGACATTTCCAATAAGAAGATTCTACCTCATATAACATTATAAGAGAAAACAATAGGGCTTTGTACTATATAATGAAGATTTCATGTAATTTATATATACACATTTTTTATAAAACTTCTACCACTCTCCGTTTGAGAGTCTGAAACTTCCCCTCAGAACATCCATCATTGCCCTAGATAATTCCTCAGTAAGAGGTACAGAAAAATATCTTCTGATTTCAGTAGAAGGATCTTGATTTACTTATGATAGAGTTGGTTTGGGGCAGTTGAGAAGTGAGCAAGGCATGAATAAACAGAGATGGTATGTTTGAAGATGCAACAACATAACTTAATTACTGAGCATCCATAATGGTTAGTACTGGTTATGGTGGTGGAGGTGGTGGTGGTGTGTGTAAATGTATGTGTGTATTTCTGTGTATACAAATGCGGATGCACATCCAGATATAAATAAACCATAATATTTTATTTAAAAGAGGTCCAACTAAGGGGAAGAAATATGTTCTCTTTTGTATTAGTCATCTTTCCACCACTGTGCCAAAATACCCGAGACCAACAACTTAAAAGTAGGAAAGGTTTATTTTGTCTCACAGTTTCAAGATTTCAGTCCATGATCACTTGACCCTGTTGCTTTGGGCCTATGACAGCATAGCATATCATACTGTCATGATGTGCTTTTTCCCACTAGGCTCCACCTCTGAAAGTTTCCACTGCCTCTCAATAGCACCCCAGGCCCGTGACCAAGCCTTTTACACATAGACATTTGGGAGACATTCCAATGACAGCATCCTTCATAGGTAATGGTGCTAACCCAAGCTGTGCTATCCCCATGTCCCATCCCCTGTTAAAATCACCTACCAGATAAACTACTCTAAAGCCAGTGCTGTCATGTGGTTAGGTAGAGATTTCTTAGTAGAGCATGAACCAATGTTCTTCCCTTCCTGTCCCTCCTATATAAAAGCAGTTTCACTAATAAATCTCCCAACATCTAAAGATTCTCTTATGAGTGAAAAAATAGAAACTATTGTTGTTTAAAAAACATTTTTATTCAAACTTGGAAAGTTAAGTAGCTAGTCTCCAGGCTTTTTCCCCCTGAAGCATGCTCTGCATGTATAGTTTTAAAACTCTAAAATTTAAATGTTCTTTTATCCTAATAATTGTCTAGTAATGGATATCAAATATAGCTAATAATAATAATAGATAACCAATACAATAACCATAATCCATTCTGCTTCTGTTCCGAGAATCATTACCAGGGGAGTAGAAATTTTAAGAAAACAATGGAAACACTGACAAGGGTTAAATAAAGTTATTACTGAAAGCTCAGGAAAACTCAACTAAAAATGGGTCTTTATTATTAATAGATTGCTCTAGTGACACACAGAAAGAACACTTACCTGTGAGATACCATACTTTTTTCATATGCGTCAAATACATAAAAGCACATTACCTTGAACAAGTCATATAAAAAGCTTCAGGAAACTGTAGCTCAGACAAGGTAAGAGGGTTTTCCCAAATCCAGAGAACAGAAGAGAGAGAGAGTGTGTGTGTGTGTGTGTGTGTGTGTGTGTTTTCAAACCCAATCCTTGGATTTTAGATTTTTCATGTTAGAATTCATGTTCTTTTCCATTAATTACACCATGAAGATTTACTACAGTTCAGTCCACAGTATGCAGAGCTGCTTTTAACATTAGGAAAACAAGAGAAACCTTGTGAAGAAGTCTACACAGAAAACTGCCTAATAGGTTTTGTTTATAGACTTTAGAGTTGTTCAAACTATTAAAACTAAAATATTGCAGTAATTTTTCTCTTGTGTGACAAACCTAAATGAACATTTCACAACAGTCATTAAAGTACTACTTAAGAAATATGTATTTTAAATTGAGACTAATCAAGAGGTAGAAAGGAAAACAACTAACTTAAATTTAATGGCATGTATAGAAGAATATTGAGATTTAAAAGTTAACCCTCTGTTGTAAAAATTGAAATACACCTAGTTGCATTCAAGAGAAAAAAAATCTGCATTTATACAGATTAATGTGTTTATAGTTTATATATGCTGAATAAATTTTTATGCTTATTTACTTTATTGTAGAAATCAAATTAGGCATCACTGGGTACTAAACTCAGTGGGTAAAAATTATAAGGGGATATTATCCCTCATATGATTATAAAGACAAAAAGATATCTTTATAATAGACAAATCTGGTTAGTATACCCTTACTATGCTGATTGAATTTAATACCACTAATAATAGAGCAAACTGATGTCTTAAACCTGTTGATATAATACAAGAACAGCACATAACCAGACCCCAAATGTTTATTCTGAATCAAAGACTAAGAACATACTAAATAGGAAAAATCCAGAGTAAAGGTCATTCTGTAAAACAACTGGCATATACTCTTCAAAAAAAAAAACCAATGTCACGATAGACAAAAAACAACAAAAAAGTGAAGCAATGCTTCTATTTTAATGAAAATGTAACAGAAGGCAACATATAGGCCTTGTTTTATTCTTAGATCCTAAAGAAGTTATAAAGGTGGTTTTAGAAAAATTGGATAAATTTGTAGAATATATATGTCAAATACCATTGTGGTAATGTGACATTTCTTGGGTGTGGTAATGGTACTGTGGTTTTTGTGGAGACTATGCTGTTCATACAAGAAATATGTCTAAATATAAAGAAGTAAAGTATCATGATATTTGCCATTTACTTTCAAATTGTTTATGAAAAAAAAATGTTTTTGAAAGCTAAAGCAAATGTGCTAAAATGTGAACAACAGGTGAATCTAGATGAATGGTATATAGAGGTTCTTTATTCCATTTTACAACTTTTCCATAGTTTTGAAATTTTGAAATATAAACAGTTGGGAAAACAAAACCATTCATTAAATTCTTTATTTCATATCACTATTTCCACAGTATTGAAATATAGACCTCGCACACACACAATCAATTTTTTATAGATTCATAATATGAAATGTTGATGAATGTTGAAAATTATAACAATCAGATCTTAAAAGAATCACACAAAAGACTTAAGAATTATTGTTGAATGTCTACAGAAAATATAAAGCAAGAATAAAAGGATATTAGCAGTGCTAATCTTTAAAATGGGTTTTCCCCATTCCTACTTTCTCTGCTCCCTTCCCACTTAAAGCCTCAGAAAATATTCATTATATACTGGAAGTATAGAATTCTTAAAAACCAATTGCATGGGAAGTACTCGATTTTCTTTACAGGTAAAATCCAGTCTTCAGCAACCTGTAGGCCATTGAAAGAGTAACTCCAAATCCAACAAAAAAAGCCAAAGCTCTATTTGGTTGGGGAAGGGGTGTCAAATACGCAATTGTGTGGTAGATCCGTGCTCCAACAAAGAGCCTGAAGTGCAGGAGAGCAGTAGAAAGGTCTGGACCACTCAAGGAATATAGCAGCCCGATTCCAACAAATGGAACAATATTTTCAAGGTCATTCAGGTGGGCTCTGTGGGGAAAAAAATGACTCTTAAAATTTCAAAATCAGCAGAAACGTATTCATTCTTCCCGCCCTCCAAAAATTAAATGTAGATGTTAATGGATCTTTAAACTGCAAAGTAAAAGCCTTTCTCTCAAACTGCTTTGCTTCCTCACTCACTTGACTTTCATTGTTATATCATCTCATTATTTTTGTTTTTTTTTTAATTTTAGTGTATCTCTTTTTTATTGGTTGCTCAGAACATTACCATGATCTTGACATATCATATTTCATAATTTGATTCAAGTGGGGTATGAATTCTTATTTTTACCAAGTGTACAGATTGCAGGATCACATTGGTTATACATCCACGTTTATACATACTGCCATACTAGTGTCTGTTGAAGTCATTTTATAGTTTTGGGAATATCAAAATTGCATCTAGGAAAATTCACTTCATTTTTATTAATATGAAATATTTATGTATATAATTTTATTTATATAAATAACAATATCAATATATATATATATATATATATATATTGCAATTCAAGATTCCTCCTACTAAAAACTCTTCTTCACAAAGGAAAAAAAAAACCTTTTGGGGTATAATCTTTCCTAAGAGACTTCCTTTAATTTTTCTAGTCTTTAAAATGGTGATTAAGAAAATGCTTGCCCATTTACCCAAACCACTAGATTACAAACTTAATAGCAATAGCAACTGAATAGCAAAGACTCATCTCTTCAAATAAAAATAGCACAACACATAAATAGCCTCTTGAAGATGGCCAAAACTTTAGCCACTCATATCTTTAAACCACAAAAGGAATAAGTTAATAAGCTTGCAGTATAAAACAGAATATACACAAAAGATGATAAGAAGTCAGGTGTGGTGGTGCACCCCTGTGATCCCAGAGACTTGGGAAGCTGAAGCAGGAAGATCTCAAGTTCAAGGCCAGCCTCAGCAACTTAGCAAGACCCTGTCTAAAAACTAAAAATATAGAAGGGGCTAGGAAAATAAATCAGTGATAGAGCACAATCTGCAGTACTAAAACTTTAAAATATTTTTAAAAGATAAAAGAGACTTCCTAAATTTTATCTTTATATCACCACTAGAAGAAAACAAAAAGTATAGTCTAGCCATAAGGCACCATGGGCTTTCCTGGCTAGAATTTTTAATAAAAGGCACATCTATTACTGACTTGACATTCTTTTTTTTTTTTTTTTTTGACTTGACATTCTTAAAAGTTCATAATCTTAAAATCTGATGCCCCTTTTTAAGCCTACAGAATGACAAACTGCTTTAGTTTCTTTTTTTAATATTTATTTTTTAGTTGTAGTTGGACACAATACCTTTATTTAATTTATTTATTTGTATATGGTGCTGAGGATCAAACCCAGGGCCTTGCATGTGCTAGGCGAGCTCTCTACCGCTGAGTCACAGCCCCAGCCCCCCAAACTGTTTTAGTTTCTAAACTAGGACTAGAGATTTTGATAGAGTTTGTCAGCTATTGATACATATACCAAAGTGAAAAACATTTCTTTTATAGGGCTCTTCTACTTTGGCATAAAGGATAATTATTTACAGGCTGCTGGCACACATCTGTAATCCCAGCAGCTCAGGAGGTGGAGACAGGAGGATCGCGAGTACAAAGCCAGCCTCAGCAAAAGCAAGGCGCTAAGACCCTGTCTCTAAGTAAAATACAAAATAGGGCGGGGGATGTGGCTCAGTAGTGGGGTGCCCCTGAGTTCAATCCCCAGTATGCCCCACCTCCAAAAAGATAATTCTTCCATGTTGCCTGCTCAGTGGTCATCGCTCTCCTTCCCTCCCTTCCCTTCTGTCTTCCCGAAGATCTCCAGGCTGCCTGACAAAGACAATGACAGCATAGAAGGATGAAGAAGGCACGCCTGGGAAACGGCTGAAATAAAGAACCACCTGCCCCTGAGTAAAAGCAAAGGCAGAATGAAGTGGTTTTGTCCCCTCTGGTTCCCGGAACAGTGCCAGGACCACTGAGAATCAGGCAGGAGTGGGAAGGAAGGACAGAACTCCGTGTGGAAGGGCCCGCTTCGCCTGTCCACCAGTGCCATTTGCTTTGTTCCTCTGAATTCTCCTGCAAGACCAAGACGCCTTCACTTCCAGTCTCGGGCATGTCATGATTTTCCTTCATGATGATGTGACAGAAATTTCAACGTTGGGGAAGAAATGACAAAAGGGATACCCTTGGAAAACCATGTCTACTCCTAAGCCTCTATTAGATGGCTGTCAAATAGAACACAACGTTAAAGCAAAGAAGAAAGTCATAGGCAATAGGGGGAATGTGGAAGAAGGAGGAGAAAGTCAAGGACTGGGTCCTCTTGGCCTTATTGGGCCCTCCAACATTTTCCTTCTCTCATTTCTCCTTTTCCATTCTTTTTCTCTTTCGTCAGTCCTCGAAAAGCTTTTCTAAATAACACTCCTCATTGTCCTAGGAAGGCCCAATACCCACAGTTGGGTAAGTATACACCTGGTGCCAACCTGCCTGGGTATACACTTACTGACACCCCTATATAGCTCACCCCACCCTTCTCCTTGTCCTTTCTTTTGTCCTTCACCGAGTGGCAGCCTTCTCCATCTAGCCTTATTTATAGACACAGCTAGAATCTGTTACCAGGTAAACATCAGTTTGCCGAAGCAACCATTCTTACCCGGGTCTACTCTCCACTGCCCCATGAGTCCATGTTCTCAGCTTTCCTTCTCTTTGGACAGATGCCCCTTGGAACACACCTGCCCTGTGATGGACTACCACCAGCTCTGTGCTCAAGAGACCATGGTCACGCATTCCCTCAGATCAGAATAACTTGGATCATGGCATCTACCTGACCTGGACTAGAGTTGCAACATGCATTTAAAAACTGTCAAAGGTCGGCCAACTACAAAAGGAGCTGTAACCATACTTCCTGCCTACCCCGTCTTCACCAAACCTCTCAGTCTTAGCATACAGCAGTGTGTCCAAATTCCCACAAAGAAATTTCCTCAAATTGTTATCACATTTTTCTTCTTCCTACTTCTAAATCATATTTTTCAGGTTACTCCTTCATAAAATATTCCTAAGTACATAATATTCTCTATTATAGACATGTTGATCTTATTTTCATGGGGAACATTATAAACCTCTGAAGAGGAACACTAGCAGGAAACGTAATTTTGGGGAGGAAATTGTTTTTTGTTTTTTTTTTTTAATTTTGTTTTGTGTTTGTTTGTTTGTGGTACTAGAGGTTGAACCCAGAATTATTTAACCACTAAGCCACATCTCCATCCCTTTTTTAATTATTATTTTTTATTTTGAAACAGGGCCTTGTTTAGCTACTAAGGTTGGCCTTGAACTTGTGATCCTCCTGTCTCAGCTTCCCACCATGAACCTAGTCTTAAAGCTCCTTGACAGGATCCCAAAAGAAGATATAGCAGTGATATATACACAAGGCTCCCTCAATTAATGCTTTGTTCATACACTGGGACCACATGAGGGATCACACAGTTCAACCTCCAGCTCACATTTCAATCTCTCTTTCTTTTTTTTTTTTTTTTAGTATTGGGGATTGAACCCAGGGGCACTTAACCAATGTCCACATCCCCAGCCCTTTTTCTATATTTTATTTAGAGGCAGGGTCTCGCTTAATTGCAGAGACTGGCTTTGAACTTGCATTCCTCCTGCCTCAGCCTCCAGAGCTATTGAGATTACAGGCATATGCCACCACGCCCAGCCACACATTTCAATCTCTTGACAGAATCCCCAACAAGTATCACTGAGGATCCATTGAACCCTCCCAGTAAATGGGCATTACCTTTGAAGGTGGGATGGTAGTATGTCCTCAATGTCTCTGCTTTCCCTAAATATCAAACCCAAGTTCTTTTGAATGACTATTTCTGTGGCTGCCCCATTTGCCTTTCAACTTTCATTTATCTTGTGGTAGTGAATGTACATGGTCTGGAATTCTTCCTAGAATAAGTGAAACAGGATTAAATAGATGATTTCCTAATCATCAGTGATTCTGTCTGCCTACAGCTCAAAACAACTGACTTTGAGCCACAAACCTTGATATTTCAACATACATTACTCTGTTTTTAACTAATTAATCTGTATGTGTATATATTTATTTTTTCAATATCACATTCCTTAAAGCTTACCTTTAACCTCATTTGTGTCTCTCCTGGGTCCCTGACATTGAAATATGCAGATGTGCTAATAGTGTTGGATTTATAATTGTGTTATAATTGTGTAATGATGGAGAGAGGGGGAAAAATCTAGGTTAAATGGAAAAAGGAGATTCTTGAAACTCCTTCTCTGAAAATTATCTTCAAAAGTGTATTGTTATTGGGAACTTTTTTTGAGAAAGCCAATAAATTCTCAAAAACTAGAACAGGCAACTAGCACCCTATTCTGCCAGATACCCTCCTCTTCCTCCTCTTGCCACATTGTAAGGTCAGTGTCTGATCACCAGGGGGCGCAGTGCACACAGTTCCTGCACCTCAGGGACAACCCTTTCAGAACCAGGTCAATTGCAACCTGACTGGAGATCAGCTTAGATTATGGCTTTCACTTTCAGAGATACAATCCTGTGGGCACAGGGGTTGAGGATGAGAAGTAGGAAATGATAGTGGGGAAAAAAATCTAAATTCTCCCCAATAAAATAGCTTTTATTGTTAAAACTTTCATATATGAAATTTGGATCTTCCTTTCAATCTTCCTAATACCACTGAGGGTCCTAGCACTTTCTGGTCCTGCTGTCAAAGGCAAACACAAAAAAGGATATATTTTAAACTCTATGTCTAATGGTTTTGAGAAATCTATGACAGTGAGTGCCACTCACCTTTTCTAGTTTTAATTCTTTTCCTTTGATATTGTTTGAGATCCTCACATTGATTCTGTCTTGAAACTATTTTGGATCCACACTCTCTACACAATCCATTTTCAAGATTGACTAATTGACTAACTCAGGAGCTGCTGAATTAACAAGTGTATAATTAAAAGAAACAAAAGTGAACATTTTGTCCTAAATCTCTAGCACAGGCTTTCTGTTAGGAGAGAGAAAAAAAAAAAAAAAAAAACTTGCTTGATAAAAAGCTTGGAGATAAAACTGTTTTTGCATAAATAAAAAAGTAAATTTAATTTTAGTACAGGAAAGGCAAAAAAGTATATGGGGCCAGATAAAATGCTGGATGCTACTTGGGGTACAAGAAGGTGTGGTGCAAATTCTCCCTGAGGACTCTGTAGGACATTGTCAGACATGGAACTCTAATACATAATGCTTAGGTTGCCACACAGTAACCTTCTCTGCACTTCAATTCAGTTAAATCCACTTTTATACACATTTTTTAAGCTGATTTGTCAAGGGAATTGAGAGAAAGACTGAGGTTACACCCAGTGCAGAATGCAGAAGCATGCACAAATGCATGAACCCAGAGCCTGAGTTAATCTTGAGGCCATATGCCATGTACCATGGGAGAATCTGCAGAAATCTTGAGATGGGCTTCAGACTTTCACCAGGAATCAAAAAATGGATAATGCCAATACGATCTAGATACTTCAGCTGGTACTCATTTCTCTGAAGAGTGTCAACTTCCATATTTCAAACCTTATGCAAAAACACCTGTTTCTTCAACCCTTTATATGGGTTGAGTCACGTCTCTGGAGAAAGATGACAAAACTGCAAGAATTCACTGTCTCCATTTTACCTTCTACCTGCCATTACTACTATACAGAGCACAGTTACTAATCCCAACAAAGTCAGGTGTTTTATCTTATGTACATACATGACTATATAACCTGTGTGATTCTACATCATGTATAAGCAGAAGAATGAGAAATTATACTCCATCTATGTATGATGTGTCAAAGTGCATTCTACTGTCATGTATAGCTAATTAGAACAAATAAAAAGTCCATACAAAAGTGCAACTAAATTAGTAATATGTGCAATAACAGTTATATTCAGAGATGTTGAGATCTCTATTTTTCTGTAGTTATACCGAGTGGATGACTTTTTTTTTTTTTTCCTTTTCTCCAAGGCCCAAACAACTTCACTGAGCTCCTTGACCAAAATTCTTTGAGTAGGTAATTTCCAGAGACACTGGTTTACCTTCGTACACGTTCCACCCTGTCATCTGTTCGAAGATACTTCTTGGCATTCTCTCCTTTGCCAAAGCTCTCACAGTCTTCTGGGTTGGCAAACACCTATTCCAAACGCCAAGGGGGGGAAAAAAAAACGTATTGCAAACACCAAACAGCATGAGGGTATTCTACCTAAGTTATCTGCATTTTAATGTCAGAAATGCAGGCCTGTAGGTTGGTCCCTAAGCAAAGAAATTTCAGAGCAATAAATCACACAGGAGCATCCACAGTTCATTCACAGTTTAAACCTGAATCTTTATTAACAATACAAACTATATTTTTTAAATATTTATTTTTTAGTTGTAGTTGGACACAATACCTTTCCTTTTATTTATTTATATGTGGTGCTGAGGATCGAACCCAGGGCCTTGCATGTGCTAGGCAAGCGCTCTACCGCTGAGCCACAATCCCAGCCCGCAAATTATTTCTAAAAGCAGCATAAATGTGAACTTAAATGAAAACCAGAATATAAAAATAGTGAGAAGGAAGGAAAAAATAGAAAGAGACATAAGTCTGAGTCAGCACTAATTATTATCATTATTATTATGGTACCCTAGCATTTTTTTCACAATGACATGTGGACACACCCTCCCTCGAGTATTTTAGCATTTCCAAGGAACCAGCTAGTCTGAAGGTAATACATTTAATTACCAAAAGTTGTTAGAAAAAAAGGCAAGAAGCATAAGAAAGTGAGGGATGGTAAAGGTATTTTGTACTTTGATAGGATATGTATGCTTCTTTCTCTTGAGCCAGATAAAACGTTGGGTCAAATAATATTAAATTTAAGAAGCTGAATTGCTTCCTAGGAAGAACAAGTTAACATTTGAGAGCATGGCATGTGTTCATGTATCGCTTCCTCTGATTATTATGCTCTTTGAAATGATTTCCCCATCCCTTGAAACTTGAAAGATGCATTTTAAAAATATTTAAGTATGTCCCAATGTTTAATAATTTATAATAAGGAAAAAAACTATAAAATTAGTTCTAATTTAAGCTTGAAAAACATCTCATAAATGTTATAACTTTTTCTTAATATGATAAGAGCTTTCTTTCTAGATGAAAGTATTGAGGAGAACTGATAGGCAGGGTTGGGATACAGTATCAACAGCTCTTGCAGACAGGCCTGTTGGCCTTGTTCATCACAGTATCCTCTAAATAAATGCCTGGCTATGAGATGTTTGACATGTTCATTTTAAATAAAGAAATTAATATATTACAATGAAAGAGTATGAGATCTGGATTTAAACTATCTGAATTTGAATCTCAGCCTTATCCTCTACTGTTATGCCACTGTGGGGCCCCTCCTGCTATGTACTGAATGTGTCCTTACAAAACGTATATATTTGAGCCTAATCCCCAGTGTGAAGGTATCTGGAGGTGGAGACTTTTGAGAGGTGATTAGATCATATGTGTGGAACCCTCATGGATGGGATTAGTGCCCTTATAAAGAGACAGGGCAGAACTTGCTTCTTTCTTTCTCTATTCACCCCAAGTAAGGATGCAAGGAGAACATGGCCATGTACACATCAGGAATCCAGCCCTCACCAGGCACTGGATCTACTGACATCTTGATCTAGGACTTGCCAACCTCAGGAACTGTGTGGAACAAATATGTGCTATTGTAAACCATCCAGTCCAAGATATCCTGTAAAGGCAGCTCAAGATGAATCTGACAGCTACTGACCTTAACCTCTGTGTCTTTCAGTTATTCTATAAAATGGGGACCAACCTGAACTTCACCTGACTATGCTGACAATAACATAATGGCGCCTGCCACTTCACAAATTCAAATTCCCTCCTTCTTTTAAGACCAGGAGGATTTCCCTGCTTCTACTTTGTTTCCAGAGGACAACTGAACCCTATCACAGAATTAAATATGTGGGAATGTTCTCCAGATATCAACCCCATATCTCCAACAGTGACAAGGAAACACCTCAGAGAGGGCCAGGACCTCTAGACAGGAGCAAGACTCTAGAGGACAAAACCTCAGGACAGGAACCTAAGAGAGAAACAGGAGGCTTCCAGAAAGAAGATGTTTAATAGGCACAGGGATAGCACCAATGAAAATTTTACACTTTGTCTAGCAGCCTCTCTGCTCCTCTCACTTGGTCATAGACCTGCTTGAACATGGGATGTGTACTTCAAAATCTTTCTGTTGACCATGCCTCTTGACTTTTTTAAATTCACTCTTACAATGCTGGGTAGAAATACTATTAACTTAAGTCAGAAGTACACAAAGTTCAATGGTTAGCATACTCCAGTCATAAGAGCCCACTCTGGGAAGAAGAACTTTAATTCTTAGCCTTTTTTCTTTCTTTTATTCAATATTTTTCATCTCTCCCCACTCTCACCCCAAAAGTTATACTCTAAATCTATAATAGAACTGAAAACACTAGTCCAAAAAATGTCTTACCTTTCTTGTTAGTCTATAGAATGCAGTTGCAGGACTCATAAGCATCATTTTTGAAAGGATAATCGTTGTATAGGAGGCAAAAGCCATGAATACTTCATTTTCCAGGAGCTGGGTGAGATCAGCCATTTTTCAATTTTGCTCTAGAATTTTCAAAAGATTTCAGACAAGAAGGAAAAAACAGACATAAATATGCAAAATAACTTCATGATCACTAGGTGTACTTGCAGCATTGACCACATTGTTCTTAAAAATATCTGGGAGCCATTTTCAAAAAAAAAAAAAACTGATCATTAAGTTTCAAATTTTTCAATATAAACAGTAGTATATTTTCTCTAGTTCTATGTCATTAAGCCTAAAGATTAAAGATACTAAATAAAAATTTGTGGGTATTACAAGCAAAAACAAATAGCCAAAATGCCCTAAAAATGGACCACAACCATATATTTGCATCAAGATGGACCACAGATTGAATGCAAAAGACCAAAGGCCATGGATTGATCTCTTTGGAAACACCCAATCATATATGCTGGGAGCCATTAGCCAAGTAGGTATGACAATTTCCTTGCCAGCGTACCCCATGTTGCAGTGACATTGAATGTAGGTGACCTTGCTCAAGGACCAAGGCAGATTAGGGCGTTCCCGGTTTAGGTTCCAGGTTTAAGGTTTAAGATTATTCCTGCTGGGAATAGGGCGTATCCTGCTGCCTGAGTTCCCCTTGAGTTCTCACAGGATTCAGACAGTATTTTTTTGGAGATAGAAGCCCAGAGAACGTGGATTTGGGCAGAGAACGTGGATTTCCCCAGAACGTGTTTGTAGACGGCTGGTGTGAGTTCGGGAATAAAGAGTTGCTGTTTGAATCTACAAGCTGTGTGGTGGCTCGTGATTGTGTGCCCAGCCAGACTGCGGCATTTGTGCCCAGCCAGACTGCGGCACATATACACAGCAGTACCACTGATATTGTATTGGGATGCCTAAGTTCTAAAAGTATGTCCTGCTTTAGAAACCCACCTTACTCCTTTGTGTCATTTCAGGAGTGTTCAAGATCTTAGGTGCCATGATTTGAATTCCAGGCCCATGATGTGTCTATTAATCTTGCTTGAGGAATTTAGCCTCTCTGAGGATAAATGTCTTCATTTATAAGACAGGAATAGTAATAGCTCCTAACATTGACTTGTTGCAAGATTTAATTAAGAAAACATGCAGAAAAATACTTAGCACAGCAGTTGGCCCATAGCAAACCCTCGATAAAGTTTATGATATCCTTAACCTAGCATCATTTTGATCATCATGATCATGGTCATCATTAACACCCACACAGGTGAAGAAAGAGAAGCAAGACAACAGAGACATCCAAATATCAGGCTTGCAAGCACACACTTAGGAAATGGCATGCATGGTACTTTAAAAGAAAGAAGGATGAGCTTTATATGTCTCTTCAGGTCATTTCACCTTCCATATTTACAGCATCTAAATGCTGTCAAGGATAAAGTGAATGAAACTGAGAGTGAATTGGAACTATAATTGGGTCAGGAGGAAAGGTGAGGCACACTAGTGATACTGAAGTCAAAGTGGATAGGAATTTAGGATAATGCTTAAATTTAAATCACAGCCTTATCTTGTGGTCATTCCTTGTAATGTCCTCTTGTTTCGTCATGAGCTCTGCTATCTGCTTCTATCTCTTCCATATAAACACCTATCTTTTCTCCTACCCAACTTAGACCCTATATAATTTGTTTAGACTGCACTGCTCTCTTCTCAATGATGTCCTTTCCTGCCCTTAAATCTCAACCCTTGTTAGACTGACATCTATCCAATTCTGATCATTCTATCCATTTACAAATAATCTACAAGTCCACATATGTATTTCTATATTTTGTTACTGGTCATGTAGTTGTTCATGAGTTGCTGTTGAATTGTGATATAAATCACATCCATAAACGTACATTTTTAATTTCCCAAGAATGTGCTATGTGTCCAATTATACCACATACTCTAGGTACAGTACCTTACAAAATCTTTTTAACTATAATACTGTAACTCTCGTAAATACATCCATTTCACACATAAAGAAAATGAGAATTAGGGATGTTAAGCAGCCAAGAAAAACAAACCCAGGTCTCTGACCTGACATCCTGTATGCTAACACATTGCACTGAATCCTTCAAGAGACCTGCTTAATTTAGCTTTTGGTTGCTTAATTCTGTTTAATTCTGATTCAACCAAAATTGGATGCCCACTGTGGCTGGCACAGCTAGGTACCCCTTGCATATGTTTTTTGCTTTCCTCTTCCTGTTATGCTATGTAGTAGGTATTATCATTCCCATTTTGCAGATAAAGAAACCAAAGCTTCCTATGTATATTATAATTTTTATTTCCTTAGACTAATAATGTACTCCGTAAATTTAGGCAAACAGAATCTACATACAGCCAGGCACACACCTATAATCCCAGTAAGCAAAGAGGCTAAGGCAGGAGGATCACAAGTTCAAGACCATCCTGGGCAACTTAGTGAGTTCCTAAGCAAATTAGTGAGATTCTGTCTCAAAATTTTTAAAAATGTTTTAAAAAAAAGGGGAGGGGTAATGCTGGGAATATAGCTCAGTGGATGAAATTCCCAGTACAGAAAAAAGAGAAAGAGGGAAAGAGAGAGAAAGAGAGATTGATTACATACAGTTCTCCCTCAGTGTCCTGTGGTTCCAGAATCCCCGAACAACCCACTGTAGAAACCCAAATCTGTGGTGCTCAAGTGCTCAATATAAAATGGGCTAGTATCTGCATATAACCTGTGTACATTCTCCCACACACACTCCCTTACTTTAAATCATCTCTAGATGGCTTGTAATATCTAACACAAAGTAAACACTAGGCAAACAGCAGTTATACCACATTATCTAGGGAAAAGTTACAAGGAACAAAGATTGTATGTGTTTAATATGGACATGATTTTTTTCCCTAATAATTTCAATCCACAGTTGGCTAGAACCTACAGGTATGGAGGATCAAAGTTAATCTAGATATTAAAAAAGAAAAAACAAATCCTACATGATAGTAAATTAATCCACCTCTATGAGTTTATAGTCTTGAAAGCACAGTATGTTAGGTTAGTTCTCAGTGCCCAATAATACTTTTTAAAACACGTAAAATATGTGTTCTAGTATGGGAAGGGTGGGGATCAAAGATCCTTCAGGGCTCCTGTAAAGTTAATTTGCCTAATAAAGGATCCCTAAGGCCTATGCCTCTGGACAGAGATCTGAAGAAATACAGCAGGGACCTTAACTATTTAAAAATTAGGAAGTTCAAGTAGGAAATGTTGCCACTTAATAATTTTTAAACAGTCTCTGCTGTTTTCTCCATAATGCAATGTATTCAGGGATGGAACAGAAGTCCAAGAAACTTCTTTTCTCCGTAGTAAAATTCAGCATTAAAAGAGCAGAGGAAAAAGTGGAGGCCTTCTGGAACCCTTAGCAGGAGAAATACACAAAAGATGTCAACAGCTAGGGCAAAGGAAATAGGAAGTCTTTTCTTCATATGTGAGCCACACACAGAAAGCACACCTCACACAGTAAGCATTTCTCAATTACCAAGAATGCAATAGAACTCCTCCAGCCTGAATTTGTAGGAGATGGGCCAACATCGAGCCTGTGATACCACAATGAATGGCTTCATGAACTAACTTTCCCACACAATACCTTCCACATCCCAGGTACTGAGTAATAAAGGCAAGAACATTAAGCAATTAGAGTCATTAAATACATGGATTACAGGGATGTTGGTCTGGACTTGGTTTTAATTTTTTTTTTCCCAAAGCCAATTTGTTAACAAATTGTCAGGAGCCAGTGGCCCAAACTGTCATGGCTAGGCACTGCAGTGAAAACAAAATTATGAAAGCTTTCTCCCAAGAATAGTCTCCAAGAGGGCAGAAGGAGTAAAGCAGTGGTAAAAACTAAGAGGGTAAAGTGTAGCCAAGTTTGCAGTGGTGCATGCCTATAATCCCAGCTACTCAGGAGGCTGAGGAAAGAAGATGGCAAGTTTGAGGCCAGTGTGGAAAATTTAGTAAGATCCTGTCTCAAAATAAAAATAATTGTGGGAATGTAGCTCAGTGATAGCACACCCATAGATTCAATCCCTGGCCCAAAAAAGGGACAGGGGTAAAGTGTTAGGTGATTTGAATATTCTAACACACACAACAGGTGGCATGAAGAAAAAAGATAACTATGTGGCCATGCTGCTGTTTACCAGTTCTAGAATTTTCTGAAGGGATTATGACGGCTACAGATTCAGCCTCCCATGAGTTTCATGCAAAAGAGGTCTCAAAAATAATCTAGAAAAGTAAACAGAGGAAAAAAAAGGAACAAATTATATAAAATAAATGGTTACAAATGATGAATCGTATTGTACAGTGGTTTACTTGTTTTATTATACATTCATTGGCTGGCATCACAGTGAATATCTGCCCAGAAACCAGCTCCCAGTCCCCTGGTGTGGAGGTGAATGTTCTTTAAGAGGCCAAGGGATCAGATGATGCACACATACAAACTCTAGAGGTAAAGTGGAGTCCTGGCAGATCTCAACACTGCCACTTATTACTTGCAAGTTAACTTTTCTAGGACCTACTCACCTTTCCTGAAAAAAACAAGGTAAATGATAAATAAACTTGCAGGGTTCTTATGAATACTGCTTTTAGTGAAAAGTGTCTTCAAAAGCACTGAGACCTGGCTAAGTGCTATTAAGAGTGTTCGCTAAATAAAGAAGCTCCTACTTTGACACTGTTCTAGGCACTGAGGATACAATTTGTTTCTAAAAAGCTGTGGCATACTTTTTATTTCACTTGATCTCAAAAATCCTAAAAGAGTGAATAATATTTTCTACCTTTGATATATAAAACTGAGGGCCAGAGGCATTAAATGAGTACCCAGACCCAAATTCATAGAGAAGGGAACCAATATCAGGGCCCAGTTTCCTCAACCATATAATTCATGGGCTATCTACCATCTAAGCTAAGAATGCTAGAATGTTCTTGTTTTCTGGAGGCTGTTTTCCCAGTCAATCACATTCCCATTTGGTTTTCCTTTCCCCCAGTATCTATCGCAGAACCTTTTTCAAACTCTTAAGTTGAAGAACATTCCCTTTCTCTTAATAGGCTCTTGGCCAAAAGAGCAAAGTTCTTTTCTTCTCAGGATTACTTGGCTTCTCTAAATCAACATTGTGTAACACAGAAAATATGGGCACAGAGCCACCAGACCATGACTCTTCAATTTTGTACTTTCTGAAACTAACAAACACAACAGGTAGGACAAGGAAAAAAGATAGGTAAGTGGCTATGCTGCTGTATATCAGTTCTAGAATTTTCAGAAGGGACTGTGGTGGCTGCAGACTGAGTCTCCTATGAGGTCTCAGGCAAAGGAAGTCTCAGAGGCCAAATACTGATCGTTTGGGGGGGGGGGGGGGAAGGATAGAGGAGAGAATATGGTGGGGTAAAGCATTCTTAGAGGACAGTGCTGATTTCCCTTTCCAGTCTCAAGGATTAATAAGCTCTACTCCAAAATAAACCCTTAGAAAAATTTTACTTGTCTGCACAAAGAGTAATATTCAAATATGGATCAATTTATCATGTTTTAAAAAATGAATAAGATGGACAGAGCATATAAGTCCTTTTTATATATAAACTTATTTTAAAACAACAAAGTGCAATACCACCTTAACTCCCAGAAGAGCATGCAAAAAAGGTGGGACCAGCTGGGGGTTCACAGTGGACCAGGGCCTGGGAACTCTATTAGACTGTCAGCTGTTCCTACAAATTGATCAACACCCCCATGGCACTCACGAACAGAGAAAGCAGGATGAGGAAAATTGGGGGAAATGATCAGACTGCAAAGAGCCCTGTGACTAATAACGGAAACCAGAGACACTAGAAGGCTCATATGCACCTTCTCTCCACCTCCCCAGTCCACCGTTAGCAGTATCTGAGGTCTTATGGAAAAAAAAAAAAAAAAAATCCTTTTCTTTTTTTACTTCTTGGACTAATGGCTTCTTCCTTCGGATTTTGGGTGGGGTAGAGGGGATGCACACATAAGAACCTGCCAAGGGGGTTTCACCCTCAGCTGTTCAGTCGTCTGACTCTAATAACATCACAAGACAATACAACACTCTCATTCAAGTGCTCTTGCATTATCTAACATCATTACTACCACTATTATTTTTAAAACTTACAGATGTTTCTCTTGACTATCAAAGTGAATAGAGAAGTACAAAGTCTGTCCCTCTTTAGGTACCAAGGCCTTTCGTCCAATCAGAGCCGGCACAGGATTTTATACCGTAGAGTTGAAGTTTCTCAACAGCGATTTCCTGTGTTGCTAAAGCTTGCAAGTACTCACAACTCTCCCAAAGATCACGGGACCCTTTCAAAGGAAATACTACTTTGGCTTGAAAATAAAAACGTGAGGAAATCATCCCTTAAACATGAAAGATTCATCCTCCCAAGTTTCACTCTCGGAGTTTGAGAAAAAGTAAAAACTTAACCAACTTAGGAACAACAGAAACGCAATTCCCTTTCAGAAGTGATCCGACTGCAAAAGGACAGCTGCAGGGAGTTTAGCTGAGCAAAAAACTTTCAGGCTGGCAGAGACCCCGCCAACTCCCGCTCCCCTTCCACCGCCACCCTGCTGGCGCCCTCCCGCAGCATCCCCTCCCGGCACGTACAGCGAGTCCGCGAAGGTGGAGGTCTGCAAGGCCGTGCAGGCAACAGGGCACTGGGCACTGCACGGAGGAGCGCGGCGAGGGCGGGACGCATGCGCCGCCCCCTCTCTGGCTAATTTCCTATGAATTAATTAGCTACTGGCGCTTAGAGCCCGGCCTTGCCAAGCCCCGCCCCCAAATTGCCTGATGCCTCTCTCCCCACAAAACCACAGATCCGCCCGTTCAGTTCTTTGAACCTTTATATTTGGCACCAGTGGAAGCTCTACTTTCCCCTTTGCGATGCGGAGGGGCCATCAGGGATTGCGAAGGAATTTATCATCTCACACCCTTCACGACTGGGGGAGGGGAGGGACAGGGAGGCTGTCAATTTTTATTTTGCTGAAAACAACTTAAAAGATCTTAATGTTGGATTTTTGAAAACTTAAAAAAAAAAAAACTTTACAGAAAATTAAAATCTTGGGGGCGGGTGAGGCTGATAAGAAGTCATTGCCAAATTTTCTTCCATTGAACTTTATCTTTCCTGCACCTGTGGCAAGACTTCCTTAAAAGGCTAGCCCCAGAAGAAAGTATCTTTAGTGAAGATCACTAGCAGCATTCCAAATCACCAAACCACTTGTTTTGTCACTGTGTCCCCCACCTTCAGGGTCCAAAGTAGAACAGGAAGAGATGATACTGGACCAGTTCATTACACCATGGCCTTGGTGTTTTTACAAGGACATTTAGGGAAGTATTTTAGGAAGGCATGATTGCTATCAAAATTGAGATTAGGGATATTCTAACCTATCTCTCCACAATCCCCTCAATAACATTTATGGGTTTGTCTTCCATGAGTTTATCTGAAGAGTTTTGAGGATTTATGTTTTGCATCTATATTGTTCTTCTCACAGTGATACATTTCACACGTTCACCACATATTGCTGTGTGTACTTCTCTTTTTACCCCTTTTATTTTTAGAGATACCTCCAGGACTAAGTTTCTAGGATTTAATGAGCAAATCCATGTTCTACCAAAAAAGGAATTCAGAACTACCAGTTTACTGTAGAAAACAAAAATTAATCACAGGCAGTCCTGAGAACTATTTCTATGGAAGCAGAATAAGTAGGAGCACTTTAGCATCAGAAGACCCAAGTGCTTCAATTTTATGTCTGTACCTTTTGAAAACTATATTTACTCACCTACCTCTGTTAAGTACTCTAGAATCTAGCCATAACTAACTGGAAAGGACAAAATTCTCTCCAAGAGTTTAGTATTACAACTATTTTTTGAAAACTCTTTTCATTTATTATGAGGTGAACAGCCCAAATCCTATGGGTAATATTATAGGAAAAGGTACAAGAGAGCTATTACTTAAATAACATTATTGGCAGAATGGCATTTGAACAGTTTTAGCATATTTTTGAAAAGAAAAGAACACCTGATTCATCCTAATAATCTAATTGTAAAGTGTTCAAACTATTAACTAATCAATTCGTAAATACTGAGTTCCTACTGCAATCAGTTTTAACAGTTATTGGCTGTGTGTGAGCACACGCGCGTGTATGTCAATCACTTAGCTTTGGTATAATATCAGCACTTGACTAATTAATTCAATAAACATTCATTAGGTGATTGCAAGCTAATTGGTTTGATGCCAGAAATCTAAAACTAAGATCAATAACATCAAATAATTGTCCTCACAGAATTTATAATATAGCAAAAACAAAGGCAAAAAAAAAAAACTAGCAAGCTGTCATTAAATTTGTGGAGGAAAGTATCTCAATTTAGAAATAAGAATGACAACTTAGCAGGAAGCAGTAACAGGGAAAAGGCTGGGAAGGAATAGACACTTCGTATTCATCTTCATTTAATCCTTTTGGATGAATGAGAGAGGAAAGGACTATTATTCAACTTGTTTCAGTTGAATACTCAATTTGAGTAACAGGAAGTGATCGTATTACCAATACTTCTTTTTATCATATTTTAACCCAAGAATAAAATCTTTCAGAGAAACTCAATCCAAGCAACAAGACAATTCCCAAATAAATATTAAAAAAAAAAAAAGAGTTTTAAAGGTCATGGGTTTGGGGTGGGGGAGAGCAAAGGTCATTCAGCCAAAAGTAGCTGCCACAATAGAGAAAAGAAAGCTGCCTGTTGGAGAGATTGAATCAGAAATATCTGGAAGAACAAAGCATTAGAAGGCCATTAGTTCCTACCCTTTAAAGCAGACAAAGAAGAAATATCAGACAGGAGAGCCACCAGCATGTAACAGGCACTTAGACTCTTCACTTTTGCCTGCAACTGTCCAATGGAGGGCTAAAGGCAGAATTAAAGATTTGGGGTCTCTGCCTGTTTTGCATCTGTCTTCTTGCTCAAGTCACCTTGGATTCCAGGAACAATGTGATCTGAAAAATATCTTATGATTTGTGGATGCTAACTCCCCTCCCACACACCTGGCAACACCACACAGCTTTCTTACCCAAGGCCTCACCTGGCAAATCCTGAGATAATGATTAGACCACACCAGATCAAGATCACCTGCTTTGGCAGCTGTGAATAGCCTCCAACAGTGCACACCCTCCAACCTTGCCCTTATTCCCCTTTCTATAAAACTTCAGGGTCATTGTCAGCCCCTGGAAGGCAGGGCTAAGAACACAGGTCCCCTTGTCTTCTCAGGGAAGCTGCACTGATCAAATTTCTTTTCATGCCTTTATTTATTTTTTTATTTCTATAGTCTTTTATTTGTTTGTTTATTCATTCTTCTGGTTATGATACAACACCAGGATACACTTTGACATAATCAAAAGCGCTTGGAACTAACCTACTGGTATTCAGTACCCAATACTTCACCAGCCCCCACCCCCTCATCCTCTTCCTCCTCTTCCTCCCCTGCTAATCCCTGATCCCTCTTCAGTCCATTTACAGTTCATTTTTTTTTAAATTAGTGTCTTATGGATGTACACAATGCCAGGACCCACAATATCACATGCATGCACACAAATACAAAAGTCCAGTCACATTCATTCCACTGTTCTTCCCTTTCTGTGTCTCTTTTTCTTCCTCCTCAATCCCTTTCTCTATTGATCTTTCTGCTATTTTGAAGTAATTCCCTCTCTCCTCTTTTTTCTTTCCTTTTTAAAAAATTCTTCTCCCCTTCCCGCCCCCATGCTTATTTTGGATTAGCTTCCACATATCAGAGAAAATATTTGATCTTTGACTCTTTGGTGACTGGCTTGTTTCGCTTAGTATGATAGTCTTCTGTTCCATCCATTTTCTGTCAAATGCCATAATTTCATTCATCTTTATGGCTGAGTAATACTCCAATATGTATATATACCACATTTTCTTTATCCATGCATCTGTTGAAAGGCATCTAGGTGGGTTCCACAGCTTCACTATTGTGAATTGTGCTGCTATAAACATAGATGTGGCTGTGTCACTGTAATATGCTGATTTTAAATCTTTTGGATATATACCAAGGAGTGGGAGAACTGGGTCATATGGTGGTTCCTAGTTTTTTGAGGAATAATTTCTATACTGCTTTCCAGAGTGGTTGCACTAATTTGCAGTCCCACCAACAACTTTCATGCTTCACTATTACCTTTTGTATTTGGTGTTTGGGGTGAGTGGTCAGACCTGATTGAATGGATACCCAGAATCAGGCCTCTGGCCTAGGGCTCCAGTAACCACTAGACTAGGCTTCCTGCAAATAGGTGGAGATCAGCAGCCTATCACCACTTTCAATTGTCTCAAATTTTTATTTTCCCCTATATCCACAGTATAAGTGCCCCCACAATCTAATGACGCAGATCCTTCTTAGAAATTTCTTAAGAAATACTTAAGAATATGTCTTGAGAATAAGGCTTAAGGGAAGCAAAAAAAAAAAAAAAGAAATAAAAATAAGCAATATTCTAAACATGCAAATTTTATTTTAGAATTATAAATGCATATAAAATAGTTTATTGCTCCCAACAACTCTATAAGTGAATTCTTATTTTTCCTACTGTAGATATGAGATTCAGAGCAATGTGAAAGTTGTGTTAACTTCTGAAATAAACTCTGAACCTAACACCTGCAAGAGGCAAAAGTATCCACAACAAAAGAAAACTAAACATGATAAAATTCTTTAAGGTAGTCAAGAGAGTATGGTAAGGGGATAAAGATAAACCAGTGAGTCAAAAGAACCGATGACAGTCCAGAAGTAGAACCACATTTAATTGGTCAATTGATTTTCAACAAAGGCTCCAAGGCAATTTAAAGGAGAAAGAAGAAAAACTTTCAACAATGAGGACTGGAACAGGAATAGCCATATGGAAAAAAATGAACTTTGACCCTTAGCTTACACCATACACAGAGACTAATTCAGGATGGATCATTGACTCAAAGATAATACTACACAGCTTCTAAAAGAAAACATGGATTGTCTCCATGACCTGGGATAGGCAGGGGTGTTTTAGACAGTACATGTCTATAAGCATTGTCTATAAAACAAAAACCTGATCTATTGGACTTTTTTAAAATTAAAATCTTCTTTTCAACAAAAGATATCATTAAAGAACTGAATAGGCAATCCACAGACCATGAGAAAATATTCTCAATATACTTATTTGACAAAGAACTTATATGCAAAAAAATGACAATAAGAAACAAGAAATATACAATTAAAAGTGGAAAATATTTGAACAGACACTTCACAAAGCAAGATAAATGGACGGTTTAAGTGCACATGAAAAGGTATTTAATGTCATTAGTCTTCAAAGATATGCAAATCAAAACCTGGAGCATTAGAAAGGGAAGAATTACAAAGACAGACAAAATCAAATATTGACAAAGGAGTAAAGCAAATGGAACTCTCATGTCATGGAACACCAACTAGAGAAACTGTATTATAGTTTTTTATAAACATGGATCTGTCCTATAATCTGATAATTCTATTTCTAGATATTCACCCAAGACAAATGAAAACTTACAGCCTCAAAAAGGATAGCTCAAGAAGGATTTTTGACTGGGTGCAGTGGCACGCCTATAATTCCAGCAAATCAGGAGGCTGAGGAAGGAGGATCTCAAGTTTGAGGCCAAGCTCCAAATTAGTGAGGCCCAAAGCAATTTAGTGAGACGCTGCCTCAGTGG